AGGGTGATCCCTGATCTCCCTTCCTTCCGCCGCGCCCTCAAGACGTGGTTGTTCCAGCAAGCGGGACTGGCCTAGGGGATTTTATAGGGGTTTTAATTACTTTTAATTGGACACTTTCAAATATTTCGTTTTAATTAAATTTTAATTAGGTGTAATATGTATTTATGTTAGCTTTTTATCATCTGTCAGCCGCCCTGAGCCGAAAGGAGAAGGGCGGGATATAAATGCAATTAATAATAATAATAATAATAATAATAATAATAATAATAATAATAATAATAACGGCTGCAGGACTTGGGTTTGGCTAGTCTAAAGAAAAGAAGAAACGGGTGACATGATAGCAGTATTCCAGTATTTGAGGGGCTGCCACCAAGAAGAGGGCATCAAACTATTCTCCAAAGCACCAGAGGGCAGGACAAGAAGCAATGGTTGGAAACTGATAAAAGAGAGAAGCAACTTGGAATTAAGGAGAAACTTCCTTACAGTGAGGACAATTAACCAGTGGAATAGCTTGCCCCCAGAAATAGTGGGCGCTCCATCACTGGAGATTTTTAAAAAGAAGTTAGACAGTCACTTGTCTGAGGTGGTATAGGTTCTCCTGCTTGAGCAGGGGGCTGGACTAGAAGACCTCCAAGGTCCCTTCCAGCTCTCTTCTCTTCTCTTCTCTTCTCTTCTCTTCTCTTCTCTTCTCTTCTCTTCCTATTCCTATTCCTATTTCTATTTCTATTTCTATTTCTCTATTCCCAGGGCTTTTTTTGTCATAGAACGCCCAGAACGGAGTTCCGGCACCTTTTTTGGATGGAACCTTGTAGGGTAGGCAAGGCGGGTTATATGACGTGTGTGAGTTCCGGCACCCTTTTTTTTTCCTACAAAAAAAGCACTGTCTATTCCTATTCCTATTCCTATTCCTATTCCTACTCTACTCTACTCTACTCTACTCTACGCTACGCTACGCTACGCTACGCTACGCTACGCTACTCTACTCTACTCTACTGACTACTGTATTTTCTTTCTCATGGGCAGTTTGGGGGATTGCCATGGGCTTTGGGATAGGTAGTCTTCTCAGCAGGTAGTCTAAATCAGTGGCCCCCAATCTTTTGGGCACCAGGGACTGGTTCCCTGGAGAGAGGTTTTTCCAAGGAGCATAGGGGGCGTGGTTTCACATGCTGCCTGCATCCCACAGATGGGGCTTCACTTGTTTGTGCCGCCTGGTTTCTGACATGCTGCGGACCGGTGCCTGTCCACGGATCAGGGATTGGGGACCCCTGGTCTATGTTGAGGCAGAGAATGGGTAGGAAGGTTGGTAGTAATAAGAAAGAGCAGACAGTTGTATGATTTTCTGTGGTGCTTCAAACGTTGCTGCTTATACTTGTTTTCTGTTCCTCCTTCTCTTTCTCCCTCACACCTTTGGTTTACATCTGGGATCACTGGGAAAGAGGCTGGTAGTGCATTCAGTAATTGTCAGATTTTTTACTCTTATAAGGGCCTTATGGGAAACTCAGAAATTCCTGTTGGCAATGGATGAAGATTTGATAATTCACCCTGGTACCTCCTGTTACCAATTCCATGATCATGTCCTTCCAAAACTACTAAAAAGGAAATTGGATAGCATTATTTGTGACATGTGAATATGGGATTATTTTAGGTCAGAATTACTATAATGAAGAATATTGCCAATTTCATCTTGATTTGTTTAAAGTCTCTTTTTCTCCTTCAGTTATAGTTTGGGGTTTGATTGATGGATTCCAGCTGTGGTTTAGCTGTTCCTGTGTGTGGTATTCTGGGCTTGTTTTGCCATGCTATTATGATACTGTATGCAGGTTGGAAGTATTGAACTGCTTTTCTCATCCTTGTTTTGCCTGCATTTTTCCTCCAGTTTACTTGCTAAGATTCTCCATACTCTTTATGCCAAACAGAAACAAAGGTCCTCAGTTAAGGGACTTATTGGGATCAATTCTGATGTTTTGGAAGAAACTGCAGATTCCTTCCTTCTTTCTTGGCCTTTTATACATGTCCAGACAGATAACAAACCATAGTTTCAAAATACATCTCTCAACCAAAGGACCACATCTCAAACCATGCTATTCTTTTATTTCTACATAGCTGCATCCATATATGCAGCACCAACTTCTTATAAAACTCAACAGGAGCAACGCACAGTGAAGAAAATCATATTATCTGGTAGCTACCAGATCTGGGCTACCAAAATCTAAATGACCATTTGATGACATCATAAATAAAATGTTATATGTGTATGTATCTAGAATTCTGTAGCCCAATCTGGTAGTTATAGTTTAATGTTTGTGTGTGTGTGTGTGTGTGTGTGTGTGTGTGTGTGTGTATGTAGATATAGATGTGTATATGTATGTATGTGTATACACACACAAACACACACACACACATACATACAAAATATATATCTCAATCAATCAATCTCTGGTCCAAATCATGTGGATTTTTGCACCCCAAATATGGTAGACCTCAATAAACATGTAGTGAATATTCTGGAATAAGATTTTCCCCCTTTCTTTATGGTCTCATTCTTGCCGCTCTTCTTAGATCCTAAAACTGCTGAGACAGAAGATGACGTCTGTGCAGAATGGGAAGTTAAAACAATCACCAGTGCATTGAAAACATATTTAAGGTAAGTGAGGAAGCTCTTTTATGTGTTTACAAGAACTCTCTGCTTTTCCGTGTTATTCTTCATGAAGGATGCTTGAACTCTGTTTAGAGTCTCATTTCCTAGCTGTTTCTTTTTATGCTCTTGTTTGAATCTGAAAGAATTCCGTTTGTTACCCACTGTTAGTATTCTGTAATGTAAAATCTAATGGCTAATCATTCCTATCAAAAAATATTTGTAAGCACAATTTTCTAAAACTTCACTGCAGTACATCTCAGAATTACTGCCAAGATTTTAGTGTTAACTATCTCCAGCAGTATTCTGATTTTCAAGCAGCCATTCTGTAAGGTGTTATGATGTTTCAGGCTTAGAAAGCAACTCTTCTCCACCTCCTGAAACTATCTTACTTTATGAGTTTTACAAGAGATAGAGGCTTGGTTTGAGTTCAAGTCATAGTTTATTTATGGTTGCATTTTAAAATACACAAAGAATATTGCTGAAAAAACTGGTTATTTGTAGGGATAGATGGTAAAGCTAAAGATAAGTCCAGCATGGTTTCTAGTAGCTTCATTGATATGTATGTGTAGATTTCTTAGTAGCAATGTAGAAGTAGCCCAAGGATGTTTATACTTCTGGCCATTCTCTGGAGTTTTTCCATCATTTACTAATCAGGTCTAATCATTCTTAGTTTCCAAGTCCAGAGAAGGAGCCTAAGAAGCAGTACTCTAGGAAAATCAGGAAACTATGGGTGAGAGGGACATTGTGCCAAAAGCATGCTACTTCCTTTGACACTTTCTGAGAACAATGTAATTTATTACTATTAATCATGCTGCAATAAAGATAATACAAAGATTTATTTGGCAGCTGGTCATAAGCCTCAAGTGTAAGGAAGAATAACCAATAATCTCTTCAGCTCCTATCTAGCTTTCTTTTCTACTCTCTCCACATTTTGACAGGCTTTTTTTTTTTAGAGCTGGAATAAATCATTTAGAGTTGTAAAGAGAAGATCCTAATCTTAACAGAGCCTTTTGTTGTTAGCAAACAACAAACTAGAGGCATTACTTATCTTTGGTGACAAGGATAGTTAATAAAAGTTGAAGATTTTCAACCTTATCATATTCCCAGAAAATGGGTATAGTGAACTTCTTGTAATTCCGAAATGAATTTCCCAGTGTATTGAGTGGAGAGAAGCTTAGCTTATGCCAAATCACTTTATGGGGAACCTGGGTGGTTTACAGAAATAAAACCCCAAATACAAACCGAATATACACCTACACTCTTGGCAACAATATTCAAACAAACTACTTCACAGGACCAATATCAATCCAAGATTCTCAGGCCCATTAGCAAAAGCATGTCAAGAACGAGTTTTTGAAAACATTTTGGACAATAATTGAAGCTGGTTAGTAATGTGAATCTATCTTGGTCAATCCTCCCCTTTTGCTGTTCCTCTTTTACTTTCACTGTATTTAAAGAACAAGCCCAGATACCTATTATTGCTCATCCTTCTCCTAATATCAGTAATGAGGAGAAATAAGAGCACTTCTACATCCTACAGTGGTGAGGAAAGTCATGAACATATGAATTTGTGGTAATCCTGTAATATAATCTACAATGTGACCCCAGTTTAAATTAAGTCTCATTAAAAGTTTGATTTATATTTGAAAAACAATACATCAGACTTTGGGTTAAACTCAGCCGTTCCAAAATATGAAACCTCTGCTACCCTCTTTTGTAGGTTAACTTGCATTTATGGTTGTTTGCTATATAACTGACATTCATATAAGCTTCACCTCATGGGCCAATACATTGGCATCCTTCTATGGAATTTGCTGACACGGCCCAGAATCCTCTGGTCCCTTTGTTCTGGGGATCCAAAACAGCACCGCACCACACTTTAATGTTGACTTGGCAATTTTGTTGTAGTTGTTGGAATGCTGTGTTTCATTTTCTACCAATATTTTTTTTTCAGTTATGCCAGGAAGTTTCATTTCTTTCTCAAAGCACAATAGTCTGCTGGATTATCTTGGGCAATCTTGAGGCATACAGTAATGTTCTTTCTGGAGACCAGTGGTTTCCTCCTTAGTATTGTAAATGTTAGTTTACTGGTTGATAAAGATTTGGGGGATGGTTTGGTTATCAGTCAGCTTAAGGTTATCCATTATCTGCAAATAAATCTTCCTCCTTGCCACTCCACAGGAAGTCATGAAGAAGAAATGGAACAAGTCTCTACCCTAAGATATTTCAAGAGATAAATTAGTTCTGTGGATAATAATTTAGCTGATGAAATTCCTGTAACCTAACCTCAACTAATTTTTTTTTTAAAAAAAGACTTGTGTATTTTTTAAAATAAAGGAAGGCTCCTCTATTGTCACATCATTGATCTGAATTTATGATTCCGCTTGTAACACAACTAATTATCATAGAACTTTACAATTTTTTTTCAACAACAACAATGACTGCTGACTCAGTGTGCTCAGTAAAGACATGTCATTGTATACTGTTTCTTTGTAATCTCTATTAAGAGGGCTTAAATAAAACTATAATCATATTGTAGATTGCAGTTCTCAAGGATTATGTGTGTAGATATGAATTCACAAACTTACAAACTTTCTGTTACCACAGTATATATGAAATTTATACTGCATCTCTCTCTCTCTGTGTGTGTGTATACACACACACACATTCTTTCTTTAAACATTTGTATTCTTGGTGTAGACTTCTATAAAAGTGCACTAAAATACTGCTTTGTTTCATTTAATGACTTTTTCTTCAGAGAAAACACACTGGTAGCACAAGAATGCTTAGTCCTTCTATTAAAATCTTACTTATTATATCTGCTGACCTCTGGCCTTTGATGCTGGTCTGTTCCATAGTTTGATTATCCTGCTACAAAAAGCAATGTTTTCTAATGTAAAAGAATCAATATTATACTACTTTTGAAAGTAATCAACATCTTTATTTTAAGATAACAGTAGTTTATGCAGTTATGCAGCTGCCATCATAGGTATATAGAACTATTAGCCACTCAGTACCATTGAAAATCAGATGGCATACACGTTTAATAATTCAACAATAAATATGACTGCATTTTTGAATGAAAGGAATCTTTTTCTTTCTATCCCATTCCTGCAGTATTAATTATGCCTTTCCTGTGTTAAAGAATGGATACAGTATGTGACCTATAGAAGGCTTTCAATTACAAATAGTATTTTTTGCCAAGTATTTTATTGTTCTTATCTGTCTATCCTTTAATCTGTATTCCAGAATGCTCCCTGGGCCACTCATGATGTATCAGTTTCAAAGAAGCTTCATCAAAGCAGCAAGTAAGCAATCTGTGACAATCCCTTTGAGGAAGCTATGTAAAAAAAATATGACCGAATGCAACAGAACAGATATTAGGAAATTCTGTGGATAGCATGTATAAGAGTGTGTTAACTAGAGCTTGATCACATTAAATGTGATGAGATAGCATAGAAACATTGCTTATCAGAAACATAGAAAGGGCTATTTTTAATAACTTGAAATTTTATAGTATTCAATAATTGCAGTTATTCATGGGGAAAATGACACCTTTAATTGTAATATGAAATCTGACAAGAAATCACTCAGGTATAATCCAGGTGATGCTATTTCATTACTTATGTTTTATACTAAATTTAAAATTGAACATTAGAAAATCAGGCTGTATTAATTATTTTGAGGACATGGGAAATGACTTTTCCCTTTGCCTTCTTTTAAAAAAACAAGCTGTTTTCTGCCACATACCCAATTTTCTTTTTTAAAAAATCCACAAGTGAAGCTTTGTATTGACATAAGTATGGGGGCTGGAAGGATAGTATAAATTAGGTCACATATTAATATATTCATTGCACAATATATATTTTTGTTGCTACTATTGCCATGGCTACTGTCTCTGTTGTATGAAGTTATCCTGTTTTGTTCTTTCAACCATGAGATAGTTACTGGCTCTTGGCTACTCCGTGAGTTAATCAGGACTTGAAATAAATCTCCCGAGTTCAAATAATGAGCTTCCTGCCATGTTATCCTGCCCTCTGCGGTATGGATATTTGGAGATTGCATCTGTGTCTTCTAAACTCCTGGAACCCCCTTCCGTCAAAACTCCACATAGTTAGAACAGATTGTAGGAGTTCACCCTCGCAAAAAACATTAATTAGTCCTCAGTGACAAAAGCTATGCAGCATCGAAGCATTGGGGCATCAGTAAATAATAGCCCATGAAGATTCTTGAATGAGAAACCTAGATATAATAAAAACTCAGAAATATCTGGAAACTCAGCTTTTAGTTTTGCAAAAATCTTCCATTTTTAATAGCTTACCTGTTGGAAGATGGTGATTCTCTTCAGAAGCAAAGGCCACAAATATGGCAACAGAAATTAAAAGTAAATTGCTCTATTGGATTGGATTACAACAAATTATTTTATGATGAGAATAAGTTAGTCACCATAATAAACTTGTGAATATTCAAAGTGCTTCCCAGTACATTGTTCTGATCTATTCAAATACTCTGGAGGTTAAGTCAGTACTATTATTTTCATATTCCATATGATAAGTGACTGATAGGGAGTGGCTTGTCTAAGTGATTTCATAGTAGATATGAGATTTGAACTGAAAATTCATATTCAATCTTTTTATCACTTTACAACACCAGCTTAATGGAAGGACAGAAACACATAAAAATCATTTAACTTTTATCTCTTGTATTCTGCAAAAAATAGCTAGTGCTTGACTGAGAGAGGTGGCATTATGTACAAACAATGGAAAGGATTATTATTGATAAGTTGATGCTTTTCCAGACTCCTGCTAATGCTAATGCTTGGAGATGGAATAACCCTGGATTGATTATGCAGAGGTGTAGAAAGGAGGTACCTGTGTATAAAAGAAAGAAAAACTGCACACAGACACCTGTCCAGATGAGAATGTTCTAATGACCCCCTCCCCAATTTTTCAGGTTATCATAGAAGTAATTTATTATTTATTATTTATTTTAATAATGTTTTTGTAGAGGTTATGAATGTAAGACAATAGGAAGGCTGCCTATAAATCAGGCCAGCTCTACACACCTCAAGATGAATAGCCCTGCACTTTGACAACTCATAAGCAGGATATAATTGTCCTATATCAGTTTTGTTCCCTTGGAGCTGGTTCTTTTAGAGGCAAGGGGCTTTTATTTTGAAACTACTATTATTGTTGACAGTTGACCATTTCCCTCTTTCTGAATATCTCTAATTTTCTAAATGCAAGTGAGGGAATTAAGATTGTATATGCTCCAGAACTAGAAGGACTTGGAAGAAAAAGTCTGGGATTTTATCTTTTTTCCTTTTGCCATGGGAATACATAGAGAAACAATAGATAAAACATGAGAGGGTTGTTGCATTGAATGAAACTGGTGAATGCTATAGAAAAACATGTTCCTTTGCTGTAATTGCAAATGTAATTCCATTTGTTTTAAGCATGCAAATAAAAACATGTTATACCTTAAAAGTGATTTGGTTGCTTTAGGTTAGTCAGGTTTTGGCTACAACAGTTGTCACATCTTTTTCCACTGGAACTGGAATTGGGATAACAAGTCCCATTATTTCTATTGGGATAATCCACCCCCTGTTGAGATTAAAAAAAAAGTGATTTTAATTGCTATTACTATCTTCCAGTAATCCCAGTAGTTCACGATGAGTAAAATGAGTCGGCTATTTTTCTATAACATATGAGTAGTAGCATTTGTAAAATTCCAATCCTTTGGGATTGATGATTCAGACACTTTTATATCATAAAAGTGATATAAAAGCGCCTGAAGGCAGGACAAGAAGCAATGGATGGAAACTAATCAAGGAGAGAAGCAACCTAGAATTAAGGAGAAATGTCCTGACAGTTAGAACAATTAATCAATGGAACAACTTGCCTCCAGAAGTTGTGAATGCTCCAACACTGCAAGTTTTTAAGAAGAGATTAGATAACCATTTGTATTATAGGGCTTACTGAGCAGGGGGTTGGACTAGAAGACCTCCAAGTTCCCTTCCAACTCTGTTATTCTGTATATCATCAGTCTCCGTCTTCAATATGTAGTGCTTTCCTAAGATAACATTTGAGGCTCTTAGAATTTTAAAGTTATTTTTTAATGGATTTGTAGAATCTAACAATCTTGATATGAGTGGTTTTTGTGGATGGGGGCACATATACATACTATATTAGTATAGTTAAACAAACTTGTAGATTTCAGCTTGCTTTGTGTCGTTGGTAGCCAAATCATAAAATCAAACTCCACTAAAAGAATATTTTGTCTTGCTGCAGAACTGGAGAATCAAGAATCCAGAATTTCAGAGATCCATAGCTTAGTGCACAGACTTCCAGAGAAAAATAGACAGATGCTCTATTTACTCATGAATCACTTGGCAAAGTAAGTATCCTGTTTTTCATAAACCTTTGGCTTTGCTACTGGTTTCAAATGGAAAAGAAGTAACTTAAACGTATAGATAATGTTCCCAAATCTCCAGCTCTGTTGTCTTGGCAGAGGAGTAGGTTTCCCACTCATTCCCTGGCATGATCAAGAAGTGACTCAATTGGTTTAGTATTGATGATCCATCCCAACACAAGCTCTTGACTTTACTTATCTTTACCATTGTACTAATCCTGTAAGGGAGGGTAAAGGAAAGGAAAGAAAAGGAAAGGAAACATTGTCACCTGTACAGGCAGTCCATGTTTTACCACCAGTTGTTTAACAAACATGCCAAATTATGTCAGAAAGGGTGCTTTATGGCTTGTAAAGTACTTCTGCCCATTGTAAAATGTTGCACCACCACCCTCTCCCATAGTCACATGACGATATTTCAGCTGTTTGTTAACCTTTTGCACTTACGACTAGTTGCTAAGCACCCTGCAATCAGATGGTTGTCATCTGCAATCCTCTCTGCTGATTTCCCCAGAAAGTCAATGGGGAAGCTGACAGGGAAGATTGCAAGCAGCTGCTGCCTGCCGAGAGAGCTAGATCTGCCTGGCAAGTGGAGGTCAGTCCCTCGGCTGGGCTGCAGAAGTGGGGCTCGCATCCCAAAGATTCAAATACCGTTTCTGCAGCCTGACTGAGGTATTCCCTTCTGCACATAAAAAATAATAATTCTAGCCTTCAGAATGATGGTGTTTGTTAGCTTTCCAGCCCAAGGAAGGCTGAAAAGCTATCAAACACCATCATTCTCATAATCATTTGGAAGGGCCTTTCTCCAGATTTCACACTTTGGAGAAGAAGTGTCCCAAAAATCACAAGAATGGATGCTTGCAGCATGACATGAGGTAGAAAGGCCATGCCTCTCATTGGCCAGGTGTGCAGAAAATGGTAAGTGGACTCGGAAATGGTGGAGTGGTATGAGGGCTCCTGTCCTGGTGTTCTGCTTAATGATCATGTGGTTGTTTAATTACCACAATGGGGAGACCTGGGATTGCAGTTATTGAGCAAGTGGTCACATGGGCATATCACTTAACAACCATTTCGATGAATGAACACAATTCCGTCCCAATTGTGGTACTATGACAAGGTCTATTTGTTGTATCCACTTTAGCCTAAGTACACACAGAAGAGCTTTGTTATCCTGTGTATTTAGGTATATTATTTCAATTAGTATGTCAATTAACTTGAGGGAATATTATCAAGTCCATATAATGATTTGTAAAAAAGGTAGGGAAGAAAGAAGGTTTTTTTTTCCTCCCCCAAATATAATTTGTCATAATTCTTGTGTAGCTTAGAATTTTCCCTCAAATGTAATCATTCCTTTGTTTCTGGTTTGGTACATGAGGCATGTCATTTTTACAGTTGCCCTAGTTTCTGTGGGTTTTGGTTTATTTCAAAGCTAAACTAAGGCAGTGGTTGAATCAGCATAGCGTCAGTGATCCGAAATGTTTGTGTAACCAAGCTGCTTGCCTAGTGTTGATTGTGTTTAACAGAAATCCCTTGTGGTTGCCATTTGAAGGCCAAGCATTTTAAGGCTCAAGATCCTGTGGCCGGGCTTCCATTTGTGAATTGTTCAAGCTGCCATAATTTTCTTAAGCCATTTTATTTTTGCCCAAAGAAACTGAGGAGGAGATTCTCTTTTGGGCCCTAAATTAAAGCTAAACTGTTTATGTAACAATCCTAAGAATTTCTTCAGTAGGATGTCACATCCTTAAATTTTGCTAAAGTAACCAAACCATTCTAAATTTTCTCTTCCTGTTGCTTTCTTGTTCATAGATGTCTGCCTAATTTGAATAGCTGCTTTTTTAGTCCCCGTACTTTATTTTTCTCCACATTCTGCCATTGCGCTAACTTTTATTTTTGTATATTTTTCTTTTCTAAGAAAAAGCAATGGCTCTGGATTATTTGATGGGTATCAACTGTCTTTACAACATCTTAACTATACATCTAATGCTGATTTTAATTTCTGTTAGCATTACCTACGTTCCTCTCCCAGCCATCTTTGATTCCCTTCTATGATTTATGTCCATGAAATAGTATGTAAGGAGCATATTTCCCAACTTAGTTAAAAGTTAGCAGGCTCTTTTTGAGATTTTTTTTTATCAATAAACTATATCTAATGAGTTTGTAAAGCAATATGGAACATTGCAAAGATTTTCATAGATTGTTCCTCCTCAATTTAATTTTCTTTTAGTTGCTGTCCATTTCTCTGATACCTGTCATCTCTCTTGCAAATGATCAGTATTCACTGGAGTGAATACTTCATTTTCATTTTATGTTTCTATTGCTCTGAGAGAATAATTCATTTCACTTACAGGTTCCCATTCTATGTATTTAAATACTATGTGACATAGTATTTTTAATCTACCATCCCATGAAAGACTATAAAGCAAAAGATATTGCAGTACCCGTATATCACACAGAGCTTATAGCAAACTCCTTAACTATTAATTTAAAGCTAAAGTTCCTGATTTTAGTTTGGTTCAATTAAATTTTGAGAGAAATTAATAAATCCCTCAGTTTCTCTAATTTTCTCTAGTTCTCTCAGCAGAAAATACATGTTGTGTTATTAGAATTTTACATATGGTTTTAAAACATTTTTATAATCTCTTAATTTATCATGCTATATTATTGTTAAGTAATTTTGTACTATTGCTCTCATTATTGATCAAACGAATCATGAATAAAATACAGTATATGCCAGTCTAAAGGAATTATTGTATGAATCAATCCACATGCTAATTAAAATTCAAAGCTTCTTTTTTATACATCAGATTTCCAGCCAAGGAAGATAAATGTTGGAATATTCATGAGCAGGAAAAGTCATGTGGTAACTCAGTCAGCCAATGTGAAGAAAGTGCTACTGAGTCTGTGCAAAAGGTTTTGAGTTAGGAGCTGGATTTTGTTTGTTTCAGTTTCAGTCTCAGGTCTCTGCATCTCTGCTGTAAGAAGTCTTCATTTGTGCTATGTTGCTGTAAAGAAGAATGTATGGTATTGTAAATATTTTGATATGAATATAAAGAGTTTATTTGAATCAGCTAAATGCAGTCAACTGTGAGAGCTTCTGATTTATTTTTTCACCAATAGAGAAATTAAAATTCTCTAACAATAAATATGTTAGAAGAATAGGGATAGGGAGGCATGTTAAAAAATCTGCATGAGTTTCATAAACTGAAGAATAACTTTTGTTGAACAACAGATGCATATCTAATGAATCCAAAGCCTATTTGGATTTGATTTTGTCGTAACTGAAGCTTCTCAGTGCTTTTCAAGGGCAGTCCCACATAGAGCATATTACGATAGTCAAGGTGGGAGGTGACTAGGGCATGGGTAACTGTGAGATTCCTGGCCCAGGAAAGGCGTATCTGATGCACAATTTGTGGTTGCTCAAAGGTCCTCCTGGCCATGACTGCTCCTGCTCCTCGAGCAAGAATCATGAGTCCAGGAGAATTCCCAGATTACACAATGGGTCTGTCTGGGACAGTGCAATCAACAAAGATGATTAGGGGACTGGAGGCTAAAACATATAAGGAACGGCTGCTGGAATTGGGTATGTCTAGTTTAATGAAGAGAAGGACGAGGGGGGACATGATAGCAGTGTTCCAATATCTCAGGGGCTGCCACAAAGAAGAGGGAGTCAAGCTATTTTCCAAAGCGCCTGAAGGCAGGACAAGAAGCAACGGGTGGAAACTAATCAAGGAGAGAAGCACCCTAGAACTAAGGAGAAACTTCCTGACAGAACAATTAACCAGTAGAACAACCTGCCTCCAGAAGTGGTGAATGCTCCAACACTGGAAGTTTTTAAGAAGAGACTGGACAGCCAATTGTCCGAAATGGTATAGGGTTTCCTGCCTGAGCAGGGGGTTGGACTAGATGACCTCCAAGTCCCTTCCATCATCATCATCATCATCATCATCATTTTCATCCAAGACCAGACATGGTAGTTCTCCATGGATTGAAGAACCCCAAACCGAGAGCCATTCTGTTTTGCCACTGTTCAGTTTCAGCCCTTTGCTCCCCATCCAGGTCCTAAGAGCCTTCAGCAATACAAGAGGGAGGTCACAGCATCACTTAACACACCATGGTCTGAGACATTCCACTGGGAGTCATCAGCATATTAATCTCTCTTAACCTAACCTACATGGTTCTTATGGCAATACAATAAAAGGAAATCCCCAGGTAAGCTTCTGGGGGAAAAGAGAGAAATAAATTGAATAAATAAAAAAGTAATCAGAACAAGATCAATTCATTAGAACATGTAGACTTTGAGAGGTTAAACATTAGAAGCTCAGATTTAATATTTCCCATGTAAGGATTTCAGATCTGATGGGCTGTAGCTTCTAGTAGCTTTTGGTAGACTCTGGATCAGTTCCTACCTCCCTACTTCCAGTGAGTAAAGCCTAGTGAATTTGCTTCTCCCTAAAAACAAATCATGATAGCTCCACCTCTTCCCCTAAGATAAGAATTTAGTTGTGGGTGGGGGAAAGGCAGAGATGGATTCAGGCTTTTTTTGGCTCCAGGGTAGTACATCTTTCTAACTAGATCTCTCTTTGTGTAATATTAAACATACTTTCTTTTGAAGCCTCCCCTGTATATTTCTTTCACCCCTGGTGAGGGCAGTGGATGGTTTGTGATCATTCACATGAGCCATTGTTAAAGCCTTCATGCAATATTCAGTCTGATTTGACGTGAACAGAAGGGTATATATTAATCTTTAATTGGGATAAATAATTCTCTTCATCCTCTTCCTTCTTCCAAAAATACAATAGTTTACAACATTAAGCGGTACATGAGTCTATGTCAGCATATTCTTACATTCAGAATTGAATACATTCATTTAAATGGTATATAGAACTTGTAGTATTCTGTTTTCTTGAGTTCTTTTATGTATACTTTGGGAAGATTACCAACACACATACTGGGCATGGTCTACTGAAATATATATATATCTAAGAGTT